ATTTGACAACCTGAAATCAGTTTTTGCATGCTGTGACTATACTGTTACTTTACTTATTAAAATATGCAAGGGTAAGCGTGTGTAACAATAATAACAAAACAAATACACATTGAATAACATACCCAGGTACATACCACTACCTGACCAGAGCAAATTCCGCTCTGAACCAGAACATTTTCATATTAATTTTATTTTCTTAAATTTCACTTTTTCACTTTGTCACAAGCGCACGAGTTCAGATCCCACTTTCTGATGTTAGAAACACACTAATTACACAGGTCAACATTTGATCTAAGAATAGTCAACGGACCTGACCAGGGTACTTATAGGTTATTTGGATCGCTGATTCCGAATCCGAGGTCGGCTAAGCTCCATCACGTCAGGTTCAAGGTCATTTGAAGGTCAAATGGCCAAAAATGGTCTAAAACATCTGAAAAAAATCATACGTATGTTTTTGGGCTAGCCTAGTTCAAAGCCGCTGCTATTTTTACCATTCAAAGACATCTAAAGGTCGTATCAAGGTCAATTCGAGAAATATGGTCTAAAAAATCTGAGAAAATTTATACGAATGTTTTTGGAGTAGCTGAGTTAAAATTCGCTGTCAGTTTCACCCCTGAAGGACATCTGAAGGTCATTTGAGGGTCTAATCGAGAAAATCGGTATAAAAAATCTGAAAAAATTTATCGTATGTTTTTGGGCTAGCTGAGTTCAAAGCCGCTGTTATTTTCACCATTTAAGTACATCTAAAGGTCATGTCGAGGTCATTTGTAGGTCAAATCGAGAAAATCGATCTAAAAAATCTGAAAAAATGTATACGACTCCTGACCGAATGAGGCGAAAACATAAAGGAGGCTAACCAGTTAAGGCAATTTTCCGATCAGTTAGGTAGAAATATAAGCGTGTCCAGCCAATTAAGGCAAGACGAGTGAATGTCCTAGCCAGTTAAGGCATGAACAACAGTGTGTCCAGCAAGTTAAGGCAAGACGAGTGAATGTTCCGACATTCAGTCGTCTTGACTTAATTGTCTGGACGCGCTTATGTTCTTGCCTTAACTGGCCGGGACATTCAGTCGTCTTGCCTTAAGTGGCTGGACACACTCTTTTTCCTGCCATAACTGGTCGGAACATTCACTCGTCTTGCCTTAACTAGCTGGACACACTCTTGTTCATGCCTTAACTGGCTAGGACATTCACTTGTCTTCCCTTAATTGGCTGGACACGCTTACATTTCTACCTAACTGACCGGAAAATTGCCTTAACTGGCTAGCCTCCTTTATGTTTTCGCCTCATTCGGTCAGGAGTCGTATTCATACGTATACATTTTTTCAGATTTTGTAAACCGATTTTCTCGATTTGATCTACTAATGTTCTCGACATGACCTTGATGCGACCTTTAGATGTACTTAAATGGTGAAAATAACAGCGGCTTTGAACTCAGCTAGCCCAAAAACATACGATAAATTTTTTCAGAATTTTTAAACCGATATTCTCGATTAGACCTTCAAATGACCTTGATATGACCTTGATATGACCTTCAGATGTCCTTCAAGGGTGAAACTGACAGCGGATTTTAACTCAGCTACTCCAAAAACATACGTATAAATTTACTCAGTTTTTTTAGACCATATTTCTCGATTTGACCTCCAAATGACCTTGATATGACCTTTAGATGTCTGAATGGTAAAAATAGCAGCGGCTTTATGACCTTGATATGACCTTTAGATGTCTGAATGGTAAAAATAGCAGCGGCTTTGAACTCGGCTACCCCAAAAACATACGTATGAATTTTTTCAGATTTTTTAGACCATTTTTGGCCATTTGACCTTCAAATGACCTTGAACCTGACGTGATGGAGCTTAGTCAACCTCGGATTCGGAATCAGCGATCCAAAATAACCTATAAGTATAAGGTCAGGTCCGGTGATTATTCTTAGATCAAATGTTGACCTGTGTTATCAGCGAATATATTAATATATTACATTAAATACAAGTTTTTAAATTGTAATATAAAAGGTTTATAAAGCATTTAAAACAGCTTGTTAATAAGGGCGTTTGCCGTCGAACGCTGAATGCCGAGTGCCTAATCGTGAAGGTATGGTTTCTTGTGTCTCATCTGCCCTAGCCGAGGAATTTGTTTATTTTACTTAGCCCTTGCTTCTCGGGTTGTGTTCACATTAGGGTAAAATCGGGATAGATGCCCCACTTTTTGAAATAGCCACCTAATTTTAAAAATATTAATTTATACGAATAATTTCTATTAATGTAGCTAGATCAATCCTTTAGGTTGAATTATTATTTTTTTTTTACCTATCAAATACAGATTTTGCAGGAATTAGCTTTTCGTGGAACATTTTTTTTGAGGATAGATGCCTACCTATATGGATAGTTGCCCCACCATGAAAATACTGAGAAGGATAGATGTCCTTTATACCGTGTAAACGAAAAGCTCAAACCAAATGTTAGGTAGTTCTAATTCTAAAACAGTAATTGTCTCCAAGAAACAAGGGTCATAATAATGAAAAACATTTTGTGTTTTTTTTAAATATTATAATTGTTATCATTAGAAGATAATTCTAATATCACACAAATGACCATAATTAAATTTTTAAAGCGTTTGTTTAACTAAAATATAAATTCTTAAGTTTCAGTATGCATAATCATATTTTTTTGTTAAATTAAATTTTACAAGCATTTATTCAACAAAAATATAAATTCTAAATTGTTGTTATAAAATATTCATATGAAGTATCAACATGCACATTGCACAATCATACTTTTTTATGTTAAAACAACACAATAAAGATATCTTCATTATTTTATCCAATTTAATTGAAGTTTAGCCAGATAGTGTTTTTAATTTTCCATATCTTGAGCAAAAATTTTTGAAAAGTGTACAGGTTTAATGTAGCCAGTTCTGACACATTACACATTGAATCCAGTCGGATTGCGACTTCGTATTTTTAGTTTTCAAAACATTTAATGCAGTTATCTTTACTTGTATCTTTAGAGTTATATTGTCCATCTCTCTTCGTTTTCTTTACGGGCAAACCTTTAGTTTTCTTTCCTTTAATTTTATAGTTAGGTTGATTGTCTTCATCTTCGCTGCTTGAACTGTAAATAATTTGTCTCTTTAGTGATGCTCGGTCTTGGTATAGTTTTAAATAATTATCATTTTCTTTATCACATAAATCAGCTAGGTTGTCATTGTCATTTTCACTAAAAGAATTTGTTTTATTTTGTTTTCTTTTTTTAGTTTTGTTGTCTTGTTCTTTATTGGTGGTTCCTTTCTTTGTTTTCTTAGTTTTTATTTGTTTTTTCTTTTTTTCAGCCACATCCTTGTGTTTTATATTTTCTTTTGAATTCAAAATATCTGCTGATTGTTTCGCCCTCTTAGTTATGGTCAAAGGAATTTTTGGAATAGGTGATGCTTCTATTAGAATTTTTGAAGGTGTTTCTTGTTCTATATCGCTTCCTAAAATCTCTGCAATTGTAGAATCACCAATGTCAACAATACTAATATCCTCTAAAATCTCGGAATCGATCAAGAGACTAGGAGATTCTCTGTCAATTGGAGTACGTGTCAGATTTGGTGGTGTCTTATTTTGTTCATGTTCAGAAATATTTACTTTTTGATTGTTCAGCTCTAGTCGACAAACTACAGAAGCACAAATCTGAGGTAGATAGTCTTTTCTTTGTTCGACCGCAATAGACTCGACGAGATTCTATATTTTTGGAGAAATTGGCGAGCTCTGGTTGGCAACCTAACGAATAAAGCATCTGAGGCTGGGTTGTTGACGTTCGTCCTATAACTTGATCAGGCGCATGAGAAGTGCCAGGATTTTCACTACCCATTGCAGTATCTGATATCAGAAATGTAGTATCTGGCGAAGCATTTGGGTCAACTGGGTAAATTCCACTACCTCTAAAGCCACTAAGCGCGTTTGCTGGGGTGGCAGCGCGAATCCAAGCATTATGTATAAGCCTTCCAGCATTGTAACGACTGATCTTTTTATTTGGATTCAAGCACATAAATTGATTAGTTTCATGGTTGAAATGGGTTTTATATGACCCAAATACTGATCTGTCTAAAGGCTGTAAGGCTGAAGTCGTGTGACTAGGTAAACACAATAAAATTATGTCATTATCAGCGGCAGCTCGCAGCATGTCCGGTGCAGTAGAGTGTGACGAGTGACCGTCTAAAATCAGCAGAACTCTACCATGAGGCTTCAGATGTATGATTCTGTTAACCATTTATAGAAAAGCTCAGCGTTTATACAGGGTGGTCCACAACTAATGGTACATAGTGCAACGGCGAATTCCTGACATCAAAATATTACGATCTAACCAAATTGTCCTATTCCGAAAGTTGATATTAAGAAAGATACATGGTGTCAAAGTTGAAATTTTAAACAAAACGATACAACGCCACAAAAATAGGTATCGGCAGGTTTTTTAATACGAGAAATCTAAATTTTTCACTAATTTTGATCCCACTGATAGAGGGCGCCATATTGAGCACATTTAAAATAGATAGTTAGAAGAAATAGATAGAAAAGTTATACTTCTTTGATATCGCTAGAGGTAACCGTTACCGAGATAATCGCATTTGAATTTGCCAATGCAACCTTATCCGTGTGGTTCATGAATGCCTAGTAGTACCCATTTAACTATTCAACTTATTCAGTAATCTGATTTTAATTAAGTAAAAATTTTTATTGGTGATTAATGAAGAATAAAAGCTAGAAGCACATATAAAATTAGACAAATAAAACACCAAGTTGAACATATTTATTTAAATAAAAATAAAATTAGACAAATATGCAAAAATGTCTCTAGAAATAATAAAGAATAACATCATTAACATCAATATACAGAGTGGCCCAAAAGACGCGCAACCGAATGAAAAAAAATGAAATTACGTAGCAAAAATACAAAATTTATTCTTCAAAAAACAAAGTATACAAATTATGTTTGAAGCGAGGCAAAAACCAACTCCCTGGTATCACAGCTTGTGTTCAAAGTGCCCTCCATCTTCTTCGATGCACTTCAGACATCGCTTTTTAACGACTTTACAGATGCGCTTCAGTAAAGGTTTCTCATCATTCATTTGGGCGACTTCATCAGTTATGATGTTTTTCATGGTCTCGATATCCGGTAATTGATTTTTGAACACCCTGTCCTTCAAAATACCCCACACGGCAAAATCTAAGGGAATCAGGTCCGGAGAACGTGAAGGCCATTCGATTTGACCTCTTCTACCAATCCAATCCGGGAAAAAGTTATTGAGGAATTCGCGAACGACTACAGCGTAATGCGATGGAGCGCCATCTTGTTGAAGAGTTAAACAGTGACCAGCAAACTCCGGGTTATTATTGAGTTCTTCGCGCAGTTCCATCAACAAATCGAGGTATGCAACCACTGTGACAGTTGAGTCGAAAAAGTAGGGCCCGACGATTCCGAAGGAGCAAACACCAAGCCAATTCTTTTTCAATGGTGATATGCGGATTGTCGGTGGACCAGTACAAACAATTGTGCCTGTTGATACGCCCATTTAATTTGAACTGTGCTTCGTCCGACCACAAAATTGTTTTAAAGAAATTTTCGAACGCTTCGCATCGAATTACGTAACATTCTGCGAACTGAAGTCGACGATCCGGATCATCTTCTGTCAATGCTTGTAAGAGGCGTGGTCTGTAAACGTGTAAACCTAGTTCCTTCATCATTCGCTGTAGGCTGGAACGTGACATTTCCAATTCATGGGCAGCTTTACGGACTGATCGCGCCGGTGTTTCAACAAAACTCTGAGCAACGGTGTGTAAGTTTTCTTCAGTTCGCACGCTCCGTGGCCGGCCCGAACGCTTGGAATCATTCACAACTTTCTTCGAATCTTTTTATCAAGCGATACACAGTTTCACGCCTCGGAACTTGAGAATCAGGAAATTTTTCGGCGAAATCGGAAAGAATGTTTCGATACTCGGCATGATAACGATAGTATGAAGTCACTAAAAACACACGTTGCGCGACTGTAAACCGATAACGTGATCCCGTTGCCATAGTTACACATTCGTATAGCCACAATATCGCTTTGCACACAGACAACCGTTAAATTGCCGATAGAACAGCTATGAACCATGTATTAGGGAGGAAACGGCCCATGCGGATTGCGCGTTAGCGTTGCGCGACTTTAGGGCCACTCTGTATATTAAAATCTGATAGCTCCGTCTGCGTCGCACGATCGCTCCGAAAAAGCGCCGATTTGCAGACTCGAAGGCTTTTCGAGGGAGCCGCGGGGGGCAAAGCCCCCCGCCGGCCTTTTTTCGTCCGAACGTCGTATTTTGATGGCGATTTTTTGCCGTCTTCGCGGTGAATTTTGAGTTTTCTTCAGGCTCTGCGAGGGGCGTGGCCCAATTTTTGTGGGAAACGCAATAGTCCGACACGCCCTCCCGCTGAAATCTGACGGTCGCCGATCGCCTCGACTTGCGCGCGGGTACGGCTTTTTTATTTTTTATTTCCCCTATTTTCTACGATATTTTATTTAAAACTGTGCCGAAAATACTCATATTTATCGACCGGGTGCCTTCTTCCAACTTTGTATGTACAACTTTCCGCGAAATCAAACGCGGAATTCGAAATGCGGCCGTAAATACGTTAAAATGCACTGTCTAGGAAGGCCGAAAAATGTGAATTTTGCCCCATAAAATTCCTTCTCCGCGAGCCTCGAAACAGCGTGCGACTTGGCACAGATACTCAGTCGTTCCTCCTTAGTAGTTCGGGGGCATTTTTGTAACGGTTTTTCACGTTTTCATATTTAATTTTGCCTTCATTTTGGGGTCTGCTCGACGACAGATGACCATTTCGCAAGCCGTCAGATTGAAGCTCTAAGACACGCCCACTCGGAGAAAATTCGAATGTCGTTAGAAACGTCAGATTAATTATGTCAAAATAATTTCACGCCAAACACGAAAGATGTCTGTGGGGTGGCGGCGAACCGTTATTTTATCTTACTAGGACTTTTTTTAACCTTAATACATTGCTACGCCGCGACATATACAGGTATTTCTTATTATTAGGTTAGGTTGTTATTTACATTTTCGCAGCTCTACCGTTTGACATGCCTACGATTACGATACCTGTCCCCCGAATTAACGTAAGTACTTGCCCTCTAAAACTGCATAATTTTAAACCAATCCGTAGTACCTAAACCCTTGAACCTTTGTATTAGTACATTTCCTTCGTTAATTTACTATATTGCATTCGTACCTATTACTCCCCAAACGTCAAAAGTTAAGAATCAGTAGAAATAAGTTGGAGTTAAAGACTCTTTCAAGTCATAGGATGTCGTTATTTATCTGTTATCTCATTGTGGATCTTTTGCGAGACGACTTTGTGTTAGAAAAATGCAAATTTAACATTACAAAAATTGTTGATTACTTCAGCTGCGAATGACAGTTAAAATATCAGTACAGACGCATTGTGCATGAAGCAGTCGACAGCACAGCGGTAAAAAATGCCCCGTTGTATTCGTAAGGTCGTTGGTTCAATCTCAGACGAGGTACCTAAGATTTTTTTTTATTTACTGCCGTAATTTAATTTTATATATGGATTCATCTTTTTAAACCTTTCTATAACAAAAAAATATAAAATTTCAAATAGGTTTCTATATACAGGGCGTCTAAAAAATTGCGTTGAAACTCGAACGGTCCAGAGGCTCCTATATATTTCAGTTTATTGATTGCAATATTTTTATGAAAAATCTGATATCGTAGTAATCATATTATGCTTTCTACAAAGGTATGTACCGAATGTTTCATAAAAATGACACGGGTGAACTTTGATTTTACTTATCTTTTCACTTTTCCAAATTTTTTATTGAGATCTTTTCATGAAAAGTTATATAGTTACTAATCAAAGGATTTTTTTGAAAATCCATATACTGCATGTTCTACATAACAGACCCAAATTAAAATTATCGGTCTAGAGGCTTCTGTATATTTCAGAAATTTATTGTGGCAATATTTTTATGAAAAATCTTATATTGTAGAACTCAGAGGCATTTTGCAAATTTATATACTAAGTGTTTCATAAAAATGACACAGGCGGACTAGGATTATTTTCTCATTTCACTACCTACCTAAATTTTCTAATAGATATTTCTACACACGGTGTCTTATTAACCAAATGTTTTTTGCAATTTCTGTACAGGATGTTTCATAAAACTGACACAGGTAAACCAGATTTTCGCTGATTCATTTTGTTAATTTTTTCATGAAACCTTTTGAAGAAAAGTTGTATATTTACTGACCACCGGCTTTTTAGAAAATCCATATACGTACTGGGTGTTCCAAAAAATTGATCCACATCCGAAACGGGCAATTTTCCCCTTTTCACTTTTAACTTTATTTTTATTTACTAAAATATTTTAATGAAAAATTGTATATTTATTAACCGGATGTCTTTTTAAATCTTTATACTGGATGTTCCACAAAACTGATCCAATTACCAACAGAACGAAACTTTCCTTTGGTATATTTTTTTCCATTTCTACAGTTTGTACTGAGGTCTGCAATATTTTCATGAAAAATCTTATACCCTACCAACCAGGTGATTTTTGCAATTTATGTACAGGATGTTTCGTAAAACTTACACAGGTGGGCTAGATTTTTTCTTATTCATTTTTTATTTTTTCTTTAAATCTTTAGAAGAAAAGTCGCTTTTTTTTAAATCCATATACTAGATGTTCTATAGAATTAAGGGCAGTTTTGTTTCTTTTCACTTTTAGCTTTGACTTTATTTACTACAGTCTTTTAATGAAAATTTGTATATTTATCAAGCAGATGTCTTAATTTATTATTTTTTTACCATTTCTGCCTTACCTACGTAGTCTTTGGATGAAAAATTATTTACTAACCAGATGCCTTTTTTGGAAGTTTGGAAGAAACTTTTCTTATTCTTTTCTCGAGCGGGGCCTACTCTTTTTTGAAAAACATTCTCATCATACTTTTATATACAGGGTGTTTAAAAATCAAAGTACAGGGTATTTCAAAACGTGTTATATCTACTAACCAGCAAGGAAAGCGGAGTGGTGCTCGAGCCGCTCGCGGCGCGGTCCGAGGGCCGAAGGCCCGAGAGAAAGGTCAAACTCCGCGTCAGCGGAGTTTGCCTGCCTTTCTAGTTAATATTATTAATGATTGAAAAAGATAGTTAAAAGATTAATAAAAAAAGATCGCCTTTCCTTAACAAATGTTCGAAGTGATGTCCATTTACCTCGATGCATTTGGTAACACGTTTGTTCATTGATCGTCTGATTTTAAAATATAAATTGTCATTTGGAAAAGATTCCGAAGCATTTCTGATTCGCTGCCATAATTCTTCACGAGTATGGACTGTATCTTGGTATACCAGCGATTTTAAGTAACCCCACACGCAAAAATCGAGGGAGTTAAAATCTGGGCTCCTCGCTGACCAATTCAACAATCAGGAAATTGATGGTTTAAGTAATTTCTAACATGTACTGAAAAATGTGCTGGAGCTCCATCCTGCATGAAGTACATATTTTGTCGTACATTCAGTGGCAAATCATCTAAGAAATGCACAAAATCAGTTCGTAGAAAATTTAAATACGATTGACCATTTAAATTTGGCGGTAACTCATATGGTCCCAACAAGTAATTATCGAATATTCCACACCAAACATTTATTTTAAATTCATGTTGAAAGTGTCGTTCGGTTATTAAATGTGGATTTTCTATGTCCCACACGTGTCTATTTCTAAAATTAAATACTCCACGACGAGTAAATGTCGCTTCGTCTGTGAACAGAATCTTACTTACAAACATAGGATCGACGTTTTGCTTGGTTTGAAAGAAACGTGCAAACTCTAGCCGGGCTGAAAAATCGGGATCAAGAAGAATCTGGACCGGAGTAAAATGATAAGGGTACAACTTTTCTTTCTTGAAAATTCTTAAAACCGATTACTTGCTCACTTCCGCCAAGAGATCTGTATGTCTTGAACTTATTTCTCCGTTTTCTGCAACACCGACCAAAATTTCCTCTTCCTGCTCTGGAGTAATAGTTCTGTGACGACCTGCAATATCCCGTTTAGGTCGAAATGAGCCAGTTTCTCCTAATCTGTTGTAAATATTCTTAAATATTTTGAAATCTGGCTGCCTTCTGTTCGGATACATCGCCAAATATCGGCGATGAGCCCTACGTCCATTAAAATTTTCCTGCGCGTATACGCATACCATATCTCTCATTTCAATATTAGAGAAAAAGTCAACAACTTGACGATTTGGATATCTCTCATTATACGCTCTTGTTGCCGCAGCACAGTTTTTGCGACATTCAAAATACACTTGTAGCATGTCCACATATTCATCATTAGTAAAATTTGGCATAATTCTTGTTAATTTACACCCAAAAAGTATTTAGCTGATAACAGTGACAACTTACAGAAGAGTTAATTGTGACAACTGGCATGACAGCAGCACACTTAGTTTTTCTTTGATTGATTGCAATCATATACGGTGTGAGGTGAATGGTAATACATTT